ATATATATATATATATATACTATATATATATATATATATATATATATATATATATATATATATATATATATATATATATATATATATACATATATATATATATATATATATATATTGTGAGAAACATACATGTACAAACACACATCTATCAATTATCTACTCATGTAGTATTTAGAAGCCGTGTAATATTTTTATGTAATTTTGGGTTGTTTAATTCTTTATAACGAATACTGCTATGGCCTCGTTATTGTATCTTTATCAGTTACGCTCTGCTGTCTATCTAATTACGTACCCCACTCCATTTTCAATTACGTACTTTGGCTCATCACCTGTCCTCTGCTGTTCGTGTGTGATCCATGCAGACGCTGTTTCTGTATGTCTACGCACGCACTACCCACGAGAAAGGTACGCCTGAGTACCAAAAGTGGTACAATGAGCAAGTGCACCTGGAAATGGACGTGGGCCTTGAATCGGTCCTTATTACCGGCGGGCAGGACGATTCTGTGCAGGGGTCAGCCAGCCAAGTAGGTGACGATGCTAAAACAAGACTATTCGTATCAATCAGTGAGGGTGGTATTCTTTGTTATTGAGTGTAGGTATGATTCTTTATTCTTTGTTATCGAGTGTAGGTATGATTCTTTATTCTTTGTTGTTGAGTGTAGGTATGATTCTTCATTCTTTGTTATCGAGTGTAGGTATTCTTTGTTATTCATATTTGTTTGTGGTGCTGCGGTAGTGTTCCTATCAGTTGGTTCTGAATTGGATGGCGAGCCATTCAGTGTGTTGCTCGTTCGACTGTTCCGGGAGTGTTTTTCGCTGATTGACCACATGTCTATACCGATCTATGCACGTGCTATCAATCAGTACTAAACTACAGTAGTTCAGGAATCTATTGCGCGCGCGTGTATGTGCGTGTGTGTGTATTTGTGTTTGTGTTTGTGGCTGTGTTTGTGTTGAGTTTGTGGTTGAGTTTGTGGTTATGTGTGTGGTTATGTGTGTGGTTGTGTCTATGTGTGTGTCTGTGTGTGTGTTCGTGTTTGTGTTTGTGGCTGTGTCTGTGTTGTTTGTGTTGTTTGTGTTTGTGTTTGTGTTTGTGTCTGTGGCTGTGTCTGTGATGTTTGTGTTGTTTGTTTTGTCTGTGTTTGAGTTTATGTTTGTGTTTGTGGTAGTGTTTGTGTTCGTGTTTTTGCCAGTGTTTGTGTTCGTGTTTTTGCCAGTGTTTGTATTCGTGTTTTGTGTTTGTGTGTGTGTTTGTGTTTGTGTGTGTGTTTGATTCTATGTCTGTGTCTGCGTCTGTGTTGTGTTTGGTTCGTGTTTTTGTTTGTGTTTGTTCTGTGCTTGTGTTTGGTTTGTGCTTGCGTTTGAGTTTGTGCTTGTGTTTGTGTCTATGTTTGTGTTTGTGCCAATGTTTGTGCTTTTGTTTTTGGGTGTGTTTGTTTTTGTGTTTGTGTCTATATTTCTGTGTGTGTGTGTGTGTGTGCTCGTGCTTGTGCTTGTGTGCTTGTGTTTGTGTCTGTGTCTGTGCCTATGTTTGCGTGTGTGTCTGTGCTTGTGCTTGTGCGTGTGTTTGTGGTGGTGTCTGTGTCTGTGTTTGTGTTCTACAGTACAAATCGTAGTGCATGTATCTGTACTTGCTACAACATACTGACTTTGTGCCACTCGTGCCAACGGATGATAACCAATACGTGGCTTTAGCAGACATCTGTATTATTGTTCTAAAGATGATACACAACAGTTCTTCCTCAACTAGATAAGTAGTGCCCAGTACCCCACTTGTGATCGCGCTATTTCTCACTTATATAGATGAGGATCCATCTGCACCCTGTTTGGGACTAAAACCCTAAAACCGGACACCCTAAAACCCAAAACCTAAAACCTGAACCCTAAACTCTAAGTTCGACACCCTGACGACCTAACACTATCAGGATGAACTTCAAGACCCTACCCCCAAACCCTAAACTCCACCCTGAAAACTCAATACTCTATCAGGATGAAGGGGTCAACTCACTACTGACACCCGTGTCCATACTGAGTGAAATGTACACAGACCCAACCGACGCCAATGGCGACAGCACACACACAGGTCAGATCTATTGGAGTGGTGGTCTAAGAACATTGTGCTATGTATGTTGGTAGAGTGACGTAACATGTCGTTTGGCCATGGTTATCGTTTGGTGACACTATTGACGTCACGTGCCAGCCGATGATGTGATTTTTTAGAGTGGCACGGGGCAGTAGATGCGGGATCCGCACTCTCACGAGGTGTGCGGATATTAAAAGGAATTAATAGCTGAACTATTATAGCTATTAAGTAATAGATATTAAAAGGAATTAATAGCTGAACTATTATAGCTATTAATCAATAGCTATTAAGTAATAGCTATGAAGTAATAGATATTAAAAGGAATTAATAGCTAAATCATTATAGCTATTAATTAATATCTATTAAGTAATAGCTATTAAGTAATAGATATTAAGTAATAGATATACAGAGGAATTAATAACTGAACAATTATAGCTATTAATTAATAGCTATTAAGTAATAAATATTAATTAATAGCTATTAAGAGGAATTGATAGCTAAACCATTATAGCTATTAAGTACTATATATTAAGAGGAATTAATAGCGAAATCGTTATAGCTATTATGTAATAGCTATAAGAGCAATTGATAGCCAAATCAATGTAACTACCAATTACTAGCTATTGCTAGCTATTAATTAATTGCTATTTATTAGTAGCTATCGCTAACTATTTATCAATAGTAATTAGTAGCTATTAATTTACTGGATATACATATCATGTTCTTAGTACTGGATATACATACCTTGTTCTTAATACTTAGCCCGAGCCCTCACTCGCGAAACTCAATCTCGATCTCTTCCCACGCGCAGACGCGGACACTACCACAGTTACCTCCACAGACACGGACACAGACACAGACACAACCCCGCTAAGTACGTCCAACCGGACGAACACGGGCCAGAACAGCAATAGCTCATGCTCATGGCGAGTGATACCGTTAGATTCGGGGGATGTGGTGTTTCTGGTCCAATCTTCTCTGCGACGCTTAAGGTGGGTCTTGTATGTCTATACATGTATACGTATATATACATCTACGTGTATATGTATATACATGTATCGTATATATACATCTACGTGTATGTGTATATGCACGTATACGTATATATACATCTACGTGTATATGTACATGCATGTATACGTATATATACATCTACGTGCATATCTATATGCTGCTATGTTTATATAAGTCCTACTTTACATACTCTAGATACCTCTATGCACGGATGTGTACTGAGTTGTATATGTCCACATCCGAGTTGTGCATGATTGTGCTGACTGGTTGATAAGAGAGAGATGCATTTCCGTATGTTCCACTTAAAGTACAGTCCAGTCTAGAGAACGAGGGCCGTCCAAACAGGGCAGAAAAGCAAAGTTTCGGACACATGTTCCAAGTGTTTGTACATACGCAAGTCGGTAGTAAGCGAATTAGTTTTTCAGTAATTGTAACGTGAGACAATAAGACAGACAACTACGTGCCATCTCTCCACCAAGTTTAACGCCTATGCCAAAGGACGCGCATAAATTGCTTTGATTTGGTTTGTGTGTATCTAGCTAGTCAGGCACTGACCTCTCTCATTGCCCATTGCACGCCTATGCCACCACAGTCTCACAGGACAAGGGCTGTCGAGCTCACCAGAGCAGAAAGGCAAAGTCACAGATACATCGCTCGCTTATAATTCATGCAGATGTGACATTCATTACCATCTCGCATGTTGTGATATACGTGCACACATGGACACACAGTCAGGCGTGTCACATGTCACACGTCACATGTCACATCTCCATCGGCATATTGGCATGTTGCTACACCGCACTGCCGCACACTGACAAATGTCTTGCTCGCTCTAAAACCCAAAACCGCTAAAAACCCTATCCCTCTCCTCCGCACACAATCGAAAACAGTCCCATAGAAGGCGGGTCAGCCAGTCAGGGCAGAAAAGCAAACGATGACTCATGCTCTGCCCCAGCATCCCCCGCACCACTCCTGCGAGCACAGATACCCAAGAACAAGCGGCCCCTTTCTACGGTAAAAGCGGGCAATCCGCACCCCAACGGAATGAATGGGGCCAATTCTGCCCTAAATAGTCCCGCCATGACACCCTTGGGTACGCCCAAGCGTTTGAGTCGGTCGCAAGCAATCCTTCCAGGTATCTTCGGATTTAGTCGTGTTTCATTGTAATGTGTGTGTATATCTGTGTAGATCTACCAGGTGTTTCTATATTATAAGGTCTGGGTATCTCTTCATAGATACATCAAATGCTCTGACATTCAGTAGTGTGTATATATCTGTTTAGATAAATGAATGTGTGCGGTTGTTATGTATGTAGTTGTGTCAGACATATCTGTATTACATAGTGTGTTACATAGTGGCTTAGTGTATTTATATTTGTCTTCACCTGCAATCACTCGCCACATACAAATGCCTTTAGTGTAGTGGTGACTCTTTTTAGACTCTATA